TTATGCTTTTAAGAGAAAGAATGTATTGATTTTGTTGCACATAGACTTTATATTAGCACTATGCAACTTTTATTTAATTAGTGTCAAAAAGTGTCATTATGTAATCTGCATTCACAAACCCAAGAGGAAAAAAAGCTATTTAACCCTCGAGGCACCTTGGAGGACCAAACGTGTACATTCTGCTCTTTTGACTTGTTTGATTCTCAATATATCGGTCGGTTTAAAGGCTAATTGTATGAAACTTGGCCAGGATTTGTTTATTATTATTACTTTTAAAATGCCATGATCCCCTCTATTGTAAGGTGTATAGAATAGGAGATATGCATATATACCTACACCCTTTAACCTCGGGCCCGACTTGGACACATTGACTCCCATTATAAGCACATATTTTGATATACTGTAATGTAACTGTAACGTTATAAGCACATATTTTGATATACTGTAATCCTGACATATTATAATGCTTTTCCCATGAATACCTAATAAATCTAAGCCACTACCTTCAAAATACCTCAAATACAGGGAAAACAGGTTTTAGGTCTGATGTATCATTCTCATTCCTAAATAGGTGAATGCTTCCTCATTGACAGTGTAGTTAGTAGAAGTAAATCATGTCAGAACTTTTCCCACCTTTTATATGACCTGTAACCCGAACAATTCAATTAAAAGACAAACTGAAATCTTTTAGGGGGAAAAATAAAGAACTTACAATAACCTGGTTGTATAAGTGTACACAGGCTCTTATAACTGGGGACGTGGCTGTGTTCAGAATTTACCAATCACATCAAACTCATGTTAAATAGTCAGTTCACACCTGCCATCATTTACTGACTTTGATTAATCCCAAATAAAGTTCAGCTGTTCTAGTAGGATTTTCCTCACAGCATCTTAGAGCAAAAGCCACAGGAGAGCTTCCAAAGCATCAGACGGATCTCATTGTCCAAAGTATCAGTCAGGAGAAGGGTACAGAAGAATTTCCAGGGCATTAGATATACCATGAAACACAGGGAAGAAAACATGGCACAACAGTGAACTGATTAAAAAGACGAGAAGAAAACTTCCAAGAGGCCTACAGCAACATTAAAGGAGCTGTGTACTACTTTGCTATCAATTCAATTTTGGTACAAAACCTTCAGGCTTCCGTTAGAAAGATGAAGATGAAGAGGAATTTCACCTTTCAGCACGACAACGACCCAAAGCATACATCCAAATCAACAAAAGCATGGCTTCACCAGAAGAAGATCAACGTTTTGGAATGGCCCAGCCAGAGCCCAGACCTGAATCCAACTGAACATCTGTGGGATGATCTGAAGAGGGCTGTTTGGGGCACTTTTGTAAAGAAGAGTGGGCAAATATTGCCATGTCAAGATGTGCCATGCTAATAGACTGGTGTAATAAAATCAAAAAGTGCTTCATCAAAGTTCTCTATGTAGGATTCCAGAAATATACAAACAGCCCAGCTTGATTTTATGGGACAAACAGAAACATTTAGGTTATTTTCTGGTTTGAACTCATGCAGCTGAGTTATAGTCTATGGATTATTTAGTTTGAAGACACAGAGCAGCCAATCAGAGTGCAGAGATCGTATGATGTCACTAGTGTCCAGGCAGACACTATTATAAGTCCTTCTGCAGATCAACAGTTTACCTGGAAACCTCTCCACCTTCACTGGCTAACATACTGGTTACATGTTCCTGCAGCAGTGATAATAATAAATATATGATACAGTTTTAGTATATTTTACTGTTTATTATAAATATGATAACTTTACATTCACACAGTGCAGAGTTCAGTTTACACATTCAGAGCAGCAGCTTAAACAGATTTAACTGAAATCTTTAGACCAACATTCATAAATGACAAACACATTATACAGTACACACTGCACCTTTAAAGCTTCAGTTCATGTCTCGTTCACATTTGTTCTAATAAAACAAAGTTTAAATAAATATTAGCTTGTTCTCATATACTTCCCAGCATGCATTGCATTAAGCTTAACTTATAATACCAAGATGGACTGCAGATGCTTACAGCACACAGAGTTGATCAGAGTTCATGATCAATCAGAATTAACCCTTTTGTTCCAGCACCACCTGTGGCCCTACAGCTCGTCTGCAGAGGGCAGTACCCACAAAAAGTGGTCCAAGGAAGGAGCAGGTCTCGTCAAGTTCTGAGATAGATCAGTGCCAACGGTGGAACTGAACTGCATTTAGTCAGACCGTCTCTGGGGCCAGTTTGTTATTGGAGACCCGACCAGGAGCTGAGTGCTCACAGCAGCTTACAGAGGGGAGACATTATTAGTTTGCACTGAACCGTACTGATGGTGGAGAGGCTCACTGAGGAACTGGTTCTGGTGATAACGACTGGTTTAGTTCAGCAGCTTCATCAGCAGGTGGACGCTCTGAACTCTTCTTCACATGTTTTTTATATTTACACAAAATGAGAGAAACAATCACAATCACAACAACACACAGAGCCACCAGTCCATAACGTCCACGCGTGTCCCCTCCCTCGTCAGTCTGTCCAGCTGTGAGACCTGAGGCAGAAACAGATGTGAGGTATCAGCTGTCTGACCTTTAACGAAGGCTTGTTTGGCTGCTATAAAACAATAAAGAACACAGTTTGTTTGTTTATTCTGCGTAGATCTTTTCCTGCAGACAGCGGAGGATCACTGACCTCTGTGGCTTTACAGCAGCAGTTCACAGCCTCTTTGTTTCTGTAGTTCTATTTTAAATCACTTTAAAAAGGCGTGGACAAATGTATCATTATATTAATTTTTAAAAGAATGTGTTAAAAACAAACAATGTGATCGAAGTTCAATAAAAAGACAGAAATGTGTGAAAATTTGGAAATAAAACAATGGATTGATTTCTGATGCTGTGTTCAGATAAATATCTATATATAGAAATATATCTGAGGGATTCTCTAAGCAAATATACAAATAAGATTCAACTTGGGAAAGAGGCATTATTGATTATTTCTTCCTGATTATGTACTGTTGGTGATCTTACATGAAATGTTCCTACAGTGTAAAGGTAAACAGACCATCGCATAATCAACCCAGAGAAGAGACAGGCTAGCAAATGTCATAAATGTAGTTAAAGTCAAACAGTAAATACAGTGCAGCATCAAATCTTCCAGCTAAGAAAATATGAGCATTTAAATATGAGATTATAAAGTCATTTGAGCCAACTTTCCCTTTAATGTTGTAACGTAAAAGTAATTTCCCCACGGGGATTATTAAAGTATTTCTAATTCTGATTCTGATTCTCTGAAACCAACTCTCCTGTGATACAGTGGGGTCG